CTGCCCACAGGGTACCTGGGATGGGAGCACCCTGAGGAGCTGACACCCACATTTCTTTTCTTTAGAGATGGAGAGAGGGGGGAGGGGCAGAGGGAGAGGAAGAGAGAGAATCTTAACCAGGCTCAACGCGGGGCTCAGTCTCACCACCCTGAGACCATGACCTGAGCCGAAACCAAGAGTTGGAGGCTTACCCAACTGAGCCACCCAGGCGCCACCACCACATTTCTTAGGCTGTGAGTCCTAGGGTTCCAGGGTCCCCTCCCCCTTTGCCAGCCCCTCAGACTCTCCTCCCTAGCTCGTAACTTACAAGAGGAAAGGCTTGAGGGGAGAGCAAGAGTGGGCAGCAGCCTTGGAGAAGGGAGGCCAGTCTGGGAAGACCAAACTCCGAACTTGGCGGGCCAGACCAGTTGCTAGCAGAGGTGGGAACAGCAGATGTACTCGCTCCTCTGGCACCTAGACTTAGGGGTGCAAGCAGGAGGGCCCTGGGTGGTGCCTACAAACCCAGGCCTTACCTGGCAGCTGTGGTCACACGTCGGGTGGCTCGGCAACCCACCAGAGGCAGACCTTGGGGCCGGGAGTGGTGGCTCATATAAATGGGGAGCTGCAGGGAAGGGGAGGTGAGTTCAAGGGTGTCCTCAGAGTGTCAGGAGATGGTGCATGACCTGGGGCCTGGGCCAACCCTTTCCACCCCCTCTCCCTCCCTCCTTCAGTAGATGTGTTGTGGACTCCTTTACAGAGAAGGAAGCCGAAGCACAGAGGCTAGAAATGACCTGCCCATGGTCCCCAGCTGTGAGATGGCCCCGGACTCAGACAGAAAGAGCTACTGTGTCCAAAACCAGGAGCCCCCATGAAGGGGACTTGCCCAACACCCCTAACTCTCGTCCATGCAGCCACCCCGTGCAGACACATTTCCTATCCCCACCCCCCCATGGAGCACACATCCTGTACTTGGCTGATTCTCCCCATGTGGTCTCCTAGGCTCTGTACGTAGCTGGGGAGGGAGGTAGCTAGAGACTCTCTGAGGGAACATCTGTCTGAGATTTCCCAAACATGCTGGGCATCTCCCTTAGGCTACACCAGTTTGGACCCTCTACCTTGGCCAGAACAGCCCAGCGGCTCTGTGTGACACTCCATGTAAAGGGTGTGAGTGCTTGAACAATGTTTGAAGGTCACCAGTCCTGACTGAGGGCCTCAACATGCAGGGCAACAGCATCAGCCCCTCCCCCCATACCACTGGGCGGGGGCATCGGGCATCATGACACTGTTGAAAGGTGCCCCAGGACACCCCCAACATGGTTGCGGGGGTGAGTCGGTGGTGTCTAGGGAAGGGTTTTATGGGCATGGAGTGAGCCTTGAGGCCTGAAGCAGACCACCATCATCACAGGCCCCTCTTACTGATGCCTCTGAGGCAGCTTCCCAGGGACCCTGAGCTGGTGGGGAGTGGGAGCATCCAAATGTTTCAGCTGTTTCAGAATGACCCGGTCCCCACTGTGGTAAATGCACATGTCTCACTTCTTCATATGCCCCTCTTTCTGTGCTGATAAGGAAACTGCAGCACAGAGAGTCAACTTCTCAGGGTCTAGTCAGTGCAAATGGTGGTCCCTAGCCCATGGCCATTATGAGTGTCATATTCATAGGCCACACTTTGGGACTGAGTCAGGAAATTTCCCCACTGCTCAAGAATGTGGGAGGGCTGTGGATTAGGAAAAAGATCCCCCCTCCCCCACACAGGCACACATAATTTCTCAAAGTCAAGGGGTTCTAAACCCCAGAAAGGCCCCCCGGATTCAGCACTGCATGAAGGAAATGTGCTTGGGGGTCTCTCCCAGTGATCCCAGACCTGCTTTCAGGCCCCACCTCAGACCTCAACTTGGCAGAAATCGCACAGAGGGCCAGCACCTGGGATGGGGCCAGGCAGCTAGCTGTCATAACCTCTGGGAACAGCATGAGGGTACAAATGTGGTGGTGGCTAAGGAATGATCAGGAATGTTCTGGAGACCGTGGTCCCAGTACAAGGACCACGTCTTAGTCCTTTCTGTTACTGACTAAAAATGTGTGCAGGGGAAGAAACTGCCTTTAGGAGTCTAGAAAACAGATCTTGGACAAGCCTAACTGTCCTGTGGGAAACCCCTGGCCAGCTCTAGTGACAGCCCAGCCCAGCTGATGAGGGCAAGGAGAGGCCCCTGCAGGGACATGGTCCACCCTGCTTAGCCCTGCAGGCAGGAGGAGCCAGAAAAATCGCTGGAGAACCTGCCTCCACCTCAAGGAGACTTCAGAGTCTGTATCTGGTCCCAGCTACCTTAAGGAATGGTCAGAGCTTCCCAGAAGGAAGTGGTGTCTGCCAGGCCAACTGTCCCAAGACTGGGAGACCTGTCTGTCCACACTGCGCCTGGACAGATTCTTCCTGGTGCCTCCTACCTTCTCCTCTGGCTCCTCCGCGCCCACTGCTCCATGGAGCTCAGCTGAGCTGACACCTCTTCCTCTTCCTGAGGAGAACAGACCCCAGGGGCCAGAGGCCTGGTGTAAATCCTGGCTGCATAGCCAATCCTGTGTGTGATCCTGAGCAGCCTCCTGGGCCTCAGTTTCCTAGGCTGTATGATGGGGATAATCCTAGTGCCTGCACCATGGTGTTCAGAGGTCATTACTTCTCTCCTGTACCTGCTCAGGGCTGAGCCAGGTAGGGTTTTGTGTGGGGTGACTCAGCTGTGACTGACTGAGCCCTTCCATGTTTGGTGCCTAATGGGGTCTTGGATTATCAAGCTCTGCTTGGGTCTCAAGCAGTAGCCCAAGGGGCATGATGTGGGACTTCAAAGCACTTCTGCTTGGTCTTCACGACACAGCAGGTGGGCCTTGGGTGGATTCCTTACTGTCTTTACATAAACAGCACCAGGTTTCTCCTTTGCTATTTTGACAACTTCTACAGAGAGAACCGCAACAGAATTAAATACAAGGAAAACATTTTTGACAGTGTGTGAAAGACACGGGCAGAAATGTGTCCAATTTGGCAGAAGGTACCCTATGAACAGCGATGGGTGGGTCCATGAGGGGGTGTTCGCTGGCAGGGTGCTGGGGAGGGAGCTGTACTTTCCTCCTCTACATCCACTCCCACGATCCCACGTGGGAAGCAGGGTGGCTCTGTGGGCTTCCCTGCCCCTCCCCAGAGACCCCTCATCCTGGAAGTGGCGGACTGGGGATGACCCCACAGGGCTGAGACGGTACCAGCTCCTCAATTCTGTGGGGCTCCCGGTGTGCCCCTAAGACCTATACTGGCTCAAGAAGCTGCTGCGTGGGGTGGCCAGCCCTCAGGAGCCAGAACCAGCCCAAGCAGACACCTCAGTTAGTGGGAGGGGCTCCCTTGGAGCTCAGCAGTCACCGTGTCCACACCGTCCCCTATGGTAGACAGGGCATGGCTGGAGCCATAATACATGCATCCCTGCACAGCTAGACACGAACCCAAATAACCACCTGTTTTTCCTCAAGTCACACACTGCCCTCATTAGGGCAGCACCCACGGGTGCCCCGTCTGGGCGGCACCCACGGCCCAATGGGTGTTCTGTGGTGACGTTGACATCCGTGTGATGGCCCCTCTTGGTAGCTTGCATGTGGCCATGATCTCTTCAGCTGGGTGACGGCAGGTATCTGGCTGGGCCCGGGGAGGGCCAGGATGGGAGCAGCCAGTGGGCTACTGTGGTCACCTGGGTACAGGTCCTGTGGCCTGTGGGACGTCCAAGTGGAGTCCCAGAAAGTGCTAGAACTGGGAAAAGTAGGCTTGGGAGACAGTGAGGTGGTTCTCTGCATGTGGCAGACATGAGCTGTAGGGATGTTGACCCAGGGGAGGAGGGAGGCCAGGATGTGGACTGGGGCAGGCTCTGAGGAGCACACAGGGGGACAGCATCCACAGGGGCAGGTGCAGGGTGGGGCAGAAACCAGGAAGGGGCGACAGGCAGATGAGAAGAGTGGAGGAGAGGAGGAGGGAGCCATAGAAGTTTCCAGAAGAGAAGAGGCCAGGCTTCAGAGGCCTGCCCATTGTAGACACTGAGAGGCAAAAGAGAGAGGCAAAGACAATGGGGAGCAGGGGTGGGGACGTGGGTCTGGGGTGCAGTGAAGGTCCCTGGGCAGCTCTCCTAAGGGTCAACTGCCCTCCAAACACACCAGATGCCCCCAGGTGTCCTGGACCCTGTTTGACTCAGACATGGTTTGGAAATGAGGCTCAGAATGTCTAAGAATTTTCCTTTGTCAGGTCAGATGGGAGCTCCAGGTTGGACTTCAGGACCAGATTCCCAGGGAGGTCAAAAGGGGTTGACAGATCAGGTTGAATATCCAAATCTAAGTCAGGTTAGAAACTCCAAACCTAAGTCTCACCCTGGGAGAGCTAGAGCTCCACCCGACACTAAAGTGTGAAAATAGTGAGCTGCCACAGCAAGACCAAAAAGCCAAACACAAGAGCTTAAGCAACAAGGAAAAGAAGAAGGATGGGGGGGAGAAGAAGAGGAGGAGGGGAGGAGGGGGGAGGGGGAGTTCATGCCCCACATAACTGGGAAGTGCAAGGGTGGGCAATCTTCAAGTATGGCTGGATCCAGGAGCTCTGAAAGGATCAGCGTTCCCTCATCCTCCTTCCACCTCCACTGTAATCTCTCCATTTCTCAGCTCTGCCTCCCTCCAGATGTCCAAACTCTCTCCTACTGCAGATGGCTTCCTCCTTGTGGCCAGAAGAGACAGCCTGTGGCAACCCCCATTGCACCCCGCAACCCCACCACCCCCACCACCCCACCCGGTCTGACAACCCCAATAGGGAGACTTCTCTCTGAGCCCAAGGGAAAGTGGTGCATTGCACATGCCCAGTCACATGGGAAGGGGCAGGGCACTGTGACTTAGACTTCCTAGAACCACACCTCGGGGGAAAGATGTTGGTTCCACACGTGGTATCAAGAAGAGACCCAGATGGAAGCGTCCCCAAGAAGGTGACAGAGACCGACGTCACAGCACACACCACTCCCGTGCACAGTCAGAGTGGACTTTTATTAGGAAATCACCCTGCAAACACACCGAGAAGTGCTGTGCTGTGGGTTCCACGCGTTTCCTGAGGAAGGGGATCACAGTATTGGAGCTGTCAGAGGGACAGGGAGCCTGTGAGTGGGGACTGCTCGGTGCTGCCTGTGGCCAGCACTCCTTCTCAGCAGCATGACTCGGCCATCAAGAACCAGCACACAGACGCAACACGAGAAACACGCCAGAGCACACACATCTGCGCTACACGTAAATAAATAATAAATACAGAATTCCATTTGCTGTTGTCCGTACCTGAAACAAAAGGAACCAAAGGGGTAAAGAAAACCAAAAAGTCTTTCTTTCCATTGGACCCAGGGAAAAATATCCCCAAATTATCAAAATTCCTCAGTTACAAAATACTTTTTTAAAAATTCCATTATTAAAAGAATAAATAACAAAATATATAAAAAATAAGTTGGTTGCATCAAAATTATAAGAAGACTTCTATATATAGAAGTTACAGCAAGATTTTTTTTGTGGCCTATCTCATAGTCCAATCATTAATTTTGCTTTGATTTCATTGATTTCCCTCTCATGGTGTCCTGGTGTGGGGTCTAGTTGAAATAGTACAAAATTAATAAATAAAAATGTTAAATAAATAGCAAATGTTAACATAAGAGGTTGTGAATATAAATACTTACATCTTGACAAAATTAAATAATTTACAGAATAATTAAACTAACTACTTTTTTATTTCTTCCAGGAAGTGCAATTTCTCTACGTTTAAATACTAACTTGGAATTGTAGTCACAATCGATTTGGACTCTATTTACATGTTAGGAACATTGTGTTTAACACTTTCCATTACAATTTTTTTCGCATCTTGAATGGATCTAAAAAGAAATGAACCTTGGTGGTCTCCAAATTAGGAATTTGTTCCCTGACTTGCTGACGCCGTCCCCACCTCAGTCGAGCTCGGCCGTGACCCGGATAATGCGGCAGTGACAGGTCACGGGCACAGGTGGACACACAGAGAGCCAGAGACCCTGGCCCTGACCCAGACCTGGATCCGAAGGCTGCAGCCCCAAGAGGGAGCATGACCCCAAGCTGTACATGTCTGTGCAGGCTGGGGGTGCCAGCCACCCCTAGATGTGTGAGGTGCTTTCATGTGGAACGTCCAGGGGCATCCCAGGTTAGAGTCCTCAAGTTGACCATGGGCTGTAGGTCTATTTCTAACCCTCTGGAACAGTGCTTTATTCCATCCTTAAGACAAAACTGAATTAAATGAAAACAGAAAACACACTTGCCACATTGACCTCACCGAGCAGATGCGCACCCTGGGGTGCATGCTCCAGGCTGACACTGTCACACGACCACCCGCCCCGTGCCCACGGCTACCCTCCCAGCCTCGACAGACAAAGGAATACTGTGGTTGCAAACTCCAAAACTTCCCTGAGAACCTTGTCCATGAGCTTCCACTGGAGACTTTGAGCTGCTCTTCAGATTTCTTTCAAAAAACAAAAATAAATCACTTTGTAATACGCCATGCCTTCCCCTGCACTTGTGTGGGGAGGTCGAGGCCTCCAGCCTGGCAAGCGCAACGAGAAAGACACGGATTTCCAGGCACCCCTTTGGATAAGCCCACCTGAGGCCGCCCTGGGCTGCCAACTAGTCACTGCAAGTTGGGAATCTCCACTGCGGGGGCAGGGCAAGGGAGGTAAACGATGGAGCCAAGTCGGGGTGCCCCAGGTGTCCCGATTGGCGGGGTGGCTTCTGGATGACGAGGTCTAGACCTGGATGCCCCTCACAGCCCGTTTGATGCTCTCCAGGAGGTCCTTGTTCTCGGGGTTCTGGTAGCACTCCTGGTTGGAATACATGTCAGTGAGGGTGCTCACGTAGGCATCAAAATTCTGCTCACATATTGGCTCCTGGAGAACAGAACGGGTTAGTAAGCTCCATCCATGCAACGGGCCACATGATTTTCAGAAGCCACAGAAATCTATGGATGAACATAGAACGCCCCCTGAGACAAGCCCACACCTACCAGGGGCACCACTGGCACCCTTGGGCTGAAACAACCATGAGTATTCTGCTGTGGATTCCGAAGCTCTTCAGGAGATCTAGAGCCACCACGGCCAGCAGCCTGCCGGGCAAAGCACCTGGATCGGGGCCCTTGCGGCAGAGGGGTGCCCTGCCCTCCTCACCTACCCCAGAGTCCTGGGGGTCAGCTACCAGCTCAGCTGCGTGCCCGCAGGGCCACATCCTGCTTACCATGTGCGGAAGGCGGATGTTGGCAAGACTTTGGATGAGGGCCTGGCTCAGGCCCGACAGCTCCAGAAACAGGGCTTCATTCTGTTCCTCGATGAGCTTGTTCTCCTCTTCGATGTTCTTTAGGCTCTTTTCCATGGAGGAGATCTGCACCAGACCGAGATGGGAAATGCCTCCTGCCATGGGAGTCCCATGGACCACATCCCTCAGGTCCTCCTGAGACAACCCAGCATGCTAACTGTGCCACACTTCATGTCTCTCTGGGAGAAGGTGAAGAGGCAGGGACCCTGGTCCCTGGGTGGAGGAGGGGATGCAGTGACTGAGCCAGGGACTGTGTGGGGCCATAGCCTTCTGTGCCACATCTGTCCTGCAGGGTCAGGGAGGAACACAGACTCCAAAGCACCCTGGGCTCAAATCCCAGCCCACCACGAGCTGCGCAGTTAAGTTCACCATGTTCCTTCTTCCTTGTCTGTAATGGGAATACTGCATCCACTTGGTGGGGTGTCTGGCCACCTTTGGGTCTTTCCCCCACCAGAAAGACCAACAAAATGCCTTAATAAAGCTGTGGAAGGCAAGCAGAACAGGCAACTGCTTCTCCCTCTGCAACTCCTAGCTGAGTGGAGCCAGTCGATGACCCCTCCAGCACACCCTTACAGTGACAGTGACAACAGGGCTGATGGTCATGGGCAGTCCTGAATGCTCTGGGCAGCTCAGGTGATCAGAGAGGTGAGTCTCAGGGTCAGCACAATCCTATGCAGAGGTTCACAGCCAGTGTGAGGAAGGTAGGAGGCCTGCCCTGGGGCCCAGTCTGGAGAAAACTTGCTTGGGAGGGCAGCTCCCAACCTGACTGCATCTCAAGGGAGCCTTGGGCTGCGGCAAGCTCACACAATGTGTGTGACTCATTGAGCCATCCCCTAGGTGCACAAAGGTGAGCTGCCTTTTAAGGGGCAATGCATGGGGTGGAGTGCTTTCTTCCAACCACATGGCTGGGAAACATCATGCTTCATCACCTGGTGACAAGTCTTTGGCTTAAAACAGTTTGAGTAGGAGTTAGGGGCCTGCCTTCTCTTTGCCTGAGACTTTCTGCAGAGCACAGGACTCAAAACTCCCTCTAGAGGAAAGGGGGCTCTGAGTCAGTCCAAAAAGATGCTAGTGAATAAAAAGATGGAAATCAGCAAAAAAAAAAAAAGAAAGAAAGAAAGAAAGAAAAAGAAAGAAAGGAAGGAAGGAAGAAAGAAAGAAAGAAAAAGGAAAAGAAAGAAAGGATTAAAAAAGAAAAGAAAAGACATCAGAGGTGCTGTCCCAAGGTTACTTCAGGAAGAGAGAGAGCAGTGAGAGACAGAGGGTGGTGGTTACCCAGTGATGTGTCTCGGCACCCAGAGATGCCCCAATACTCCTCTGCTTCTACTGCCTGTGAGCCTGGGGAAGATGGTGCATGGCAGACGAAGACCCTTCCTGATCTCTACAGGCGGATGCTATTTTTATCTAGGCTTCCAAGTCACAGGAGGTCAGCATAAAAGCCTCTTGGCCAATGAGAGAAGAGACAGCATAACAAGATACATGGGGCTCTAATATGTCACACTGCAGCCTCTGGGAAGGGCTACCTTCCCATCTGTGCTTTCTGCCCTCAGATCCTGCAGGGCCCGGTCACCTCCTTGTCCCTCTGTCCCTCCAGCCATAGGGGACAGAGCTATGTGTGGCCACTCCTTCTGTGCCCCAGCTCTTGCTCTGGCCCCTTACCCAACAGCTAAGGACAGGGCTTCTTTTCAAAATAAGACCCTCATTGCATTTTTTTTTTCTGATGACCAATGTTCATTTGGGGGAAATCAGAGAGATATGACACATATACTTAAAGTAATTTGTAACCCTATCACCCAACAATAGTGACTCTTTTGGGGTCAGACACTTTCCCATAGAAATGCGTTTATCTTACAACAACCTCACAGAGTTGATTCCTATTATCATCCCCATTCTACCAGTAAGGACATCAAGGTACAGACTGATAACAGGTTTGCCAGGTTACTAAGCTGCTATATGGCAGCTCTGGGGTAGAATCAGCCTCCCAGCCAGGCCCTCAGAACCTAGCCTGCGATACTACTCCTACTGACAGGGCCAGCAGTCAACCCTGACGGGACCACTAACCCTGATGGGACCCCCAGCATGGGCACCTCAGGACCCCTACTGCTAGAAGAACTACCAAAGCTGGCAGGTGTGGCTTGTTCTGAGTGTCCCTGAGAGCTGCACTGTCAGCTCAGCCTAACAGCAACCTTGACGAGCTCAGCTCTCCTGCCTCATGGAAGAGGAGGCTGAGGACAAGGACCCCCTTGGGTTGGGTGGCAACACCACCCACCTGGGACTGCAGCTGCGCCACCCACCTGGGACTGCACCTGGGACTGCAGCTGCGCCACCCACCTGGGACTGCACCTGGGACTACAGTTGTGCCACCCACCTGGGACTGCAGCTGCACCATGGCGGCCTCCATCTCAGAGTTGGACTCATTCAGGTCGCGAATCTCCTGGTTCAGCTGCTTGATCTCCTCATCATTCTCCAATACTGCTCCAGAGAAAAACCTTGGTTGTGGCTCTTGGCTTTACGCCCAGGCCAGCATGTGGGGGTGCAGTAGAGGCCTATTTTCTAGGTGGAACAAAGGACCCTTTCCAAACAGAGGTAACCGGCCTGGCATGCTAGGCAGCTCATATCCCACATGTCATGCTGGAAAAGTCGGGCTTGGAGACTAGTAGCCATATGCCTACATCTGCCTCCTGACCCTGGGTGATGGGTAGGAGGATATAAATCTCTCTGTCAGGTATTAATCGCTAAGATAAAGATGGAAGTTTTCCAGGTGGTGCTGAATTTCCTCAGCTTCCCTCTTCCTTGAAACTGAATTCACAACTCTACAAACCCCGAGAACATGGCTTCTGATGCTGCCTGCAGGGTTCTCTGATGCCAACACTTACCAATACCCAAGTTAAAGCAAGCATGGCCACTTGAGGGCCAGGAGCCCAGACTCCAGGCAACCAGGGGTTCAGAGCTGAGGCTGGGAGACCTGTCGGCTCAGGTCAGGGGTCTGTCTCCACCATGATTCACTCCAGGAGGGACTCTGGCTCCCTAACCCCTTCCACCAGCACTGCTCACTCACCCAGGTTACAGAGATCCCTTGGAGGAACTACAGGAACCTTACCATCACTCGTCTTGAACTTCGTGCTGAGAACCTCATCCCCTGAGACTTTTCCCTTCTTTCCAGCAAAGGTTGCTCTGGGACAGCCGGATAAACTGGAAGCAAAGGTCACACACCAAAAACCAGTCCAAAGTCACACACCAAGGGCCAGGCCAAGATGACACATCATAATGAAACCAAGTCCTCACTGGCTGGCAGCCTGGTAGGATCCTGGCTTGGAACTTTCTCATTTATCTCCTTTTGCTCCCTGTTCCCTGGCTCCAGCCCCCAGGCCTTTCCCAGCTCTGGCCACTGCCTTAAAGGTTCGTCCCCAGATGGTGTGGGGCCAGCGCCTTACCCCTTTCTCAGAGAGGCCTCCCTAACTCCTCCCTGCCACTATTCTCCCCACAGCATCTACCCCTTTGGCCATCCTAGGTACCTCACTCATTTGTTTGCTTATAGTCGGTGCCCCATCCGCCTGGCTCAGATCAACTCTTGTTCTCTGCTCTGTCTCAGGGCCTGGTATGTGGTGGACGCTCAGTAAAGGCTTGTGGAATGAATGAGCTAATTAATCTTGTAGGTGGAGAGACAAGGGCAGAACAAAAGAAAGACGAAGAAGGTTTCTGAAGGACTGTGTGGCAACCCCCTGCACCTCGGCCAACACCTCAGCTGCCTGACACACAGAGGAAGAGAATGGGGGATCCAAGGCCCCCCCAGCCCTGGAGCAGGTATAGGGGGGCAAGCGAGAGCCCAGGCAGGGAGGGCTCTCGCCACCATGTCCCTTCCACAACAGGCAGAGGCCTAGACCCAAAAGTCAAAGAAGAGGCCCCAGAGGGAGGGGCAGGGCATGAGGTATGACAAAGCCTTTCATGAGAAGCTGGCAGCCTGTTTCCAGAATGCACACACCAGACTCAGGGCTCTGCTCACTCTTGCTGGAGGGACTCTACTGGGTTGTAGAAGGGGGCTCATGACAGTAGCCACATGGGGGGGGGTGACACGTGTCACAAACACCATGATCTCGTCCCAACAGATTGTCTATGGCTTCCCCCAGTCGGCTACCATGCTGGGCCTTGCTTTTCCCTAGAGAAACTATAGGCCACGACTGAGCCCTAGTCTGACCCTTCCGGAAGAGCCTTGCTCACATGCCCAAGGCTGGGGTCCCGATGAAACGCAGGGTGTGCAGGGCAGTTACCTCCTGTGGGTGAGGAAGCTACCGTTGGCGTGGCCAGAGCCATCACAGCCTGGAGTGGGGCAGGTAGGCCCCTCGTTCTTCAGAGATTTCCAGGAAAAGGGTGAGCCATTAAGGGAACCCTCTTTCTGCCTCCGTGCGGCCAGTGGGCAGCCAGATGCACTTCTGTGGGAGGCGTATTTGCCGCTGATGTGACCAAGCCCCACACAGCCTGGAACAGGGCACCTGGCACAAAGAGGTCAGAGGTGAGCACAGGGCACTGGAGGAGGGAGAAGAAGCCCAGAGACTCTCCCAAGCCAGACACTGAGACTGCTGGGGGCTCCTGGATAAACTCCCACTGTCCGAGTGATTCCTGAAGCCTTCCCAACCAGACACGAAGGCAGCAGAGATCATGTTCCCTCTCCAGCCGCAGCCTCACGCCCCCTGCATCCCTGGAAGGTCAGCAGCTACCCTCTCTCTCCACCCCTCAGGAGCCATGATGCCCCTGGGCCCTGGGCTAGCTCTCTGGAGCTTCTGGGTCTACACCTAGACCTTGCTGCCACATCACGTCTACATCACCCCAGGAATGTGGAGGCCACACCCTGGGGATTGCACCAAGCAAAGTGCCGGGGGCCCTGGGGATCACAGAAGGTCACAAGTGCACATGCAGCCATGCAGTGTGGGGACAGCAGAGGCCCCATCACCCCACAGCATCCCAAAATGAGACTGTCAAGGCATGATGTCCATAGATGTCCCAGCTTCGCCACATCTGAAATGTGTGTTCTGGAAGGAAGAACCCAGGCCACAGGGCTCGTGCAAGAAAGATTCGGTTCAGACATTCCATTGTGCCTCCTGCCCGAGGCTGGCTTGGAATGGTATTTTTCCTTTGTTCATGTTGTTCCAGGACAAGGAGAGAATCCCTTGAAGAAATAACACAAGCCCCAGGAACAGGTGAGGTAACTGGAGAAAGGTTCAGAGTGAATCCCCCTCATGCTGCCATTGGAATCCGTGCACCACAGAAAACCAGCTGATGCAGAGGGCTCTGGCCATCCACCTTCATGGCCTTCAGGACAGACCAGGACCAGGAACTCCCTGAGATACCTTCTGAGCACCAACATTTCAGAATCATGGGATCTGAGCTCAGGACCACCTAGGAACCAACAACTGACTGAGGATGAGATCCTGCACCTGCAAGTTCTCAGTTTTCTCCCTCCAGCAAAAGAGACTCATATAATTTGCCATTTGTTTTTACCCACTTTTTAGGGGCTGCAGACCTGCCAAACACACAGGACCTTGAAAAGGGACATGTTGCCCCAGTGTAGGGAGAGGTCTCTGGGGTGGGGAAGTCAGAGGCAGGAAGTCTTTTGGAGGGCAAGGGCCGCCCGGGGGCTCCTGCCGCAGCAGGTGAGGGGACGGGGCCTTGCTGCCCAGCAGTTGCCCCCACACTATGGCCTTGCCCCCAAGGTGGCCACTGCAGACATTTTCCTAGCCTCCTTGGCCTGGATCCGTCCTCATTTGTCTCCTCTCTTGGTGCCCATCCCTCTCTCGTCTTTGTCCCACACACATGGGCCTCAGACATGCAGGATGGCCCTGAGCCAGTCCAAGGTCATCTCGGCAAGCAGTCCAGAGTGAAGATACTGCCATAGGCCCTGCAAGGAGCTTGGGGAGGATCCACTCTACGTCTGCCCCTCACACCTGGATACCTCCCAACTGTGGGGTCCCGCGGACACTGAAGCACGTCTGAGCACCCAACAGAACAAGATCAAAAGACCAAATGAGAGGCAGCTCTTCACGGTTACAACACAGACTTGATCTGAATTCCTTTTACTCACATTCTTTGCAAAACCCTAACCCTCCTCATCAGGAATGATTCCCTGGAATTTATTCATAGTGGGTATTTCAGACATGTGGACAGCAACACTGCTTTTCTTCCCCTCCACATCCAGTATCCAAATCTTCAGAGCTATCAGGTGACCTCACACTAAGATGTGTGTGGGGTGCCAAGTCAGTCAGCTTCTGTACCTCCCAGGTGAGCCAGTGGTGGGGCTGCCAGGACCCCAAGGTCAGAGGCGCATCTCTTTTGTCAGATGTCGGTGTGGCTGGGGACAGTGGTGGGGGTGGGGGGCTCTCCACAGGCGATGGGCGTTGAGCTCCTAACCCCCACACTGGAACATCCACAAACTTTTATGGCCAGTTATTTCATTTTGGCCAAAGGGATTTACCACAATCTACTGACATGACTTAATCTCAAATGGTGCAGACACAAGATGTCATAAAAGGGAACTCTTCCCCCACCAGCCTTCCACAATCACAGCAAGCAAGCACATGCTCACAAAATCCCGTCACTCGACAGGACCTGACACACCGATTAAAGTTTCTGCTGTGGTCTGCACTTGTTGTTATAAATACAGTTGAAGTTTATGGCTGGGAAGGAGGCCCTATAAAATGGAGGTGCTGAATGGGCACCCCCCCCAGCCCGCCTTGCCATGGAGCCATTAGGAACTTCATCCATCCTGTAAATGCTGACCTGCTTCTAAGTCATATTCTCCACTTGGCTGCAAAAATCTTGTTTTTTAAAAAGCGAAGTTGACAGCACATTAGGAGGAGGAAAACCATTTTTCCCAGTTAACTTGAAAAATGCTGATCTTGATTTTAATCATTTGCAAATGCAGCACAATTCACTTATCATAACCCTACAGCAGGATCCTTTCTAATCCATAGCAGCTTGTGTTTATATGGCTTCTCAGAAGGATAAATGTTCTTCCTCCATCCTAGCATTTAGTGGGCTGCATTCATGACACCAACATCCACATACTTTGCATTTTTGAGTTAGCATTCATTATAGTTTTATTGTAAAAACTAAATTAAATAAACAAGCCACAGCCTTTTTACACCAAACAGCTGGTGGGGCCAGCCCCTTGGAAGGATGTGATGCTGGTCAATCAGGTCTCTCCTCTGTAGCCAAGCAGATGTTTAGGTGCAGCTGGGGTGAGCTCCAAGGAGGAGCTACTGACTCTTGGTCCAGGTTGCTCCCCTCAGCAGGGGTGAGCATCCAGCTACTCTTGGCCCAAAGGCAACGCAATCAGGGCAGCTGGGCTTTCTGTGCACCTGCCTGGCCATGCCCTGACCAAGCCAGCCCCAAGGCCTGCGCCACGACACAGCCAGAACCCTTCCCTTCCACTCCTCAGCTGGCAAGGGGACCCAGTGCTCTGTTCACTGTCAGCTCTGAAAGTCCTGGGAAAATTGAATGGTGGGTCACTCTGTTTGCCCCTGTGGCCCAGCCTTGCCCCTACCGGCAAAGGGGGGGGGGGGGTTCAGGGGGCAAGTTCCCTTCTGGAAGCATAAACTTGCAATGATGCAATCCCTACCAAGTGGGGCACTCACAGGGTCAGAGTTCACACGCAATCCCCCTGATGACACATTAGGCACCCCCATGAGACGGTCAGTGGTGGGTATCAAGGACTTTGATCATGTAAAGCCCAGGATGTCCTTGCTCCTCCCCACAGCAGTGTCGAGGTCCCTGTTCAGGGTGACCCTCCTGGGTTCCCCCCTTCCATACCAGCTCCCTGCAAAGGTATGTGAGTGTGCAGACACACACAATTCAAAAACTGATCATCTTTCTAACCATCCTCTCCTCCTTGACTCCTGCACCTGTCCTTTCCCATCAGACCACAGCTGTGCAGGCTTCAATACCCATGAGCACCCTGGGGGGCTGCTCCATGCCCTGAGCCCTCACCCAGGTGACCCCCCAGGTGCACGGGCAGCGGGGCCCTTTGTCTCTCCTGGCCCCATCAAATACCCCCAGATCTGAGGAGCCCAGACGGAAGCCAGTGCCTCTGCGTGCTCTTGATACAACACACATAGCTCACAGCTTCACAGATGTCCACATGCACAGTAGGAGAACTTCGGTAAAAATGGGCATTGTCATTGACCAGCTGTGCTAATGAAAAAGGAGTCTAGAAGGAGCTTTCTAAAATTATAACATACAGGAACATCCCAATTCTGCAAAACAACCACAGGAGTCAGCAAGACCCCAACTTACTTCATCAGCTCAGGGTCTTCCTTGTCGTCCTTGGTGGGTGTCACCCTGGCTCCACTTTTCTTGGCACGAGGGCAGCCTGACAAGCTAGTTTTGAAAAAGGAAAAAAAAGCCACTGTGGTCCCAGAACAGCAACTTCTCCCACCCATCTGCTCCACGCATCCCTTCCAGCTCTGTGGCCAGCCACCCCCAGGGGATCCCAAGGGAACTTCTGTCCTGGAGCACTCTCAAGGGCAGGAGGGCGATGGCAGGAGGTGTCACCACGAGCCCTTCAGGTCTGGTGGCAGAGGGCGACCTGATCGGGCTTCAGGAACATCAATTCAGATGACAGAGATGAATCAGGCTCCAGCTGCCAGCAACATTATTGTCTTATTTGGAGCACTGCAACTTTGTCTGAGGAAGAGACCCATCCCACTCCATCTGGCCTGGCACCCCGGGCACAGCAGGCTCACCTTCGGTGGGAGGCGTAGTTCCCAGTTATGTGGCCAGAGCCGTCACAGCCGGGTGTGGGGCACCTGTGGAGGACAGCGGAGCTGGAACCAGAGCCAGGGAAGACACGTGACCAGAAAGGCCCCCTCGGTGCCCAGCCCCCAAGTGGGCCCACCCGCCTCCTCAGCACTGATCTCAGAAATGGCGTGCGGTCCTGGCCAGCCTGCTGCCATGACGCCTGGCCTTCAGAACGTTGCCACCCGGTCTCCCCAGTGGGTCCAAGAAGGCCAAGACAAGAGTACATCTCCACTGCAGGAATCACGGGCTGCCATTTCAGCCTTCGACGGGGTTCTAGGCTGGACTAGAAGGTTCCAGAACACATATGGGCCTTTAAGCAGCATTCAGAAAGGCAACCCTAACAGTTAAGATGGGCTCATCTTCCTTGACATGACTAGGAGGAGGAGGGGTTGTTTTCATGGAGGATTGCCACCATCTGAGCGAATGAACTGATGTCTACTGAGCACGCATGACACACCATCCACAGCACCGTCACCTAGAGGTGGATTTCTCAGTGAGTGCAGAAGTCCCACAGCCAGAGGCTATTCAGCGGTGGCAGGCACTGGCCAAGGGTGAGGAGGGGGTCACAAACACAGAAGCCCAACTTGATGCGTGCAAAATGTTTGACAAACATATCCCATAGAAAGTGAAAATTACACTTTAATACAAAAGTATGGGTTTTCTTAAATTATTCTTCCCTGTATGTCCATGGCAGAAGAGCGAGTGAGTTCCTGCTGGTGCCAGAATGAGGAGGTGTGCCTGATTCTGCAGGTGGATCCACCAGAAATCTCCAGAGCAGGTCTGCCACTTTGTACCTTGTTCCATGGAAGGGCGCAGCTCCAACCCTGTGGGACCTAGCAGGACCTTGGTGTTTGCATCTGGGATCTCACAGAACACTCATCTGCGGGTTCTGGTTTCATCCTCACACAGAGAAGAAACCATGGGAGCCGAGGCCCAAGAGGGTTATGGGGACTCACATCAGCTGAAACAGGACACGGGTCTCTGCCTCTCAGTCAGTGGAGTTCCCTAAGGCACTTAGGCTCCTGTGCTGTGCCCACAGCCCTTCCTCAGCAACCTCTTCCACCGGCCAATGCAGCATCTGGTATTTGGAGCAGGAAGCCGGCACAGCCAAAGGACCACCCCCCCCCCACAGCTCTTCGGCTGCCTCCTAGAACTCAGCAGGCCAGAACTGCCTCTTCCCCTCAGAGGAAGCGCAAAGCTGGTGTGGCAACATGGGAGGGGTCAATGCCCATCCCACCAGCTTCTTCTCCAATCCCACTGTCTTTCTCAAGGCATCCCCTTCATCCCTGTCCTGCAGGCCACACGTGGGAAGCCTCCCTGGGCTGACAGCAGGCCCACCAGTCCAATCGCCCTCCTGTCGGATTTAGGGATAACTCAAACCCTATGAGATTATGATGGCTCCTACTCTGGTCATGTGTGGTCACATTTCAACCCACACACGTCTAGGGCAAGAAGGTTTTTGCATTTTAATAGAAACCACACACCACCTCCATCTACGTGAGCTTCTCTCCTTTCACAAAAACCCCCAACCCGTACAAAGGTCCTGCTGGGACACTCTGTGCCTCTGCATCATCCGAGGTCCCAGGGTGTGAGCTGCAGTGGTTGGCCCCTTGCTGTGGACACCAAGTCCTTCAGGCATGTCATGGTATGCCCTCACGCTACTCTCCGCTGAGGCCAAGGCCCCATTGATGCCTCCCTGCACCCTCCTCAGCTCAGAGTGCCCTGCCAAGCGTTCTCATGGCCCGCGCTAGCAGGAGCCCTGTTCCTGCTCTCTGGAAGGCTAAGTGCAGAGACTGAGGAGGGTGCTTCTCCTTCCTGGGTTTGCAGGTGCTCGGGTGGCCGCCTGGGGCTCCACTCTTTCTCGGCTTCGGGAAAACATGGCAGAACTCAAGGTCAGTGCTGCAGGTGGTGGGCAGGGCATCAGCAGCCCCAGGCCTCGGTGCCAGTAAGTGCAGGTCTGGTCTCTGGTGCAGCCCCCGTGGCACCTGTGAGTAAGGCTGGCAGGAGAGAGCATGCACATAGGGATGGTCCCTGCCAGGTCCCAGCACAAGGGGGCCCACTGAGGCACACCTTCTCCAGACCGGGGGCGGCGGGGGCGGGGGGCATATGCACTCCTTGCTGAGGCCCAATTCAATGGCTTTTCCCAAAAGGCGTGGCCAGTAGAAGATGATGTTCATGTGGCTAGAGAAGCAGGTATCCATGCTGGGCGCTGGCTGTGTCAGCCACTCTCGTGCCCCTGAGGACCCACAGGATCAGTTGCAGGAACCCCACCATCTGCTTCTGAGTGCATTGTCTGGGCAAGAGGAAGAATCCTGTGTCTAAAGGACACACTATAGCTTGATGGCACACACCAGGTCTCGTCTCAGAGCCCCATCCCTGTCCCATGGTGAGGAGGCCACCCCCACCTGTCAGAGCCCCCATCACACCACTTGCAGGGTACGCACCCTGCACCTCAACTCCCCACACACAGACTGGGCTGAGTGGCCCAAGGCAGCTGTGTCCCCAGCCCCTGACCACACTGGGCATTTGGTAGGGAAGAGCAAATGCCCTTGGGATTCGATTAAAGCACAGAAAACACATGATCTGAGGCTGTCACTGCACCCAGTTGTTGATAGGGAGGCCACCAAAGGAGCCCCATTTGCAAGGCAGTGATGTAGGTGTCTTTTCCTCTCTGGGGACAGGTCACCTTCCCCCATCACCGCCACAAGGCTGGTCAGGAGCAGCCTCTACAAGATGCCCACTGGACAGGAGGAGGGAGGAAGAAGAGGGAAGCACCAGCACGCCAGGACCATCTTGGAGGCCTGCCCGCATCCACCCCCAGCCCTCGCTGTGGCCCGAGAGGACAGAGTTGACTCCCACAGAAAGAGCTCTGGGGCCAGAGAAGAGCTTGGGGGGAGTTGGGGCACCTTCCCAGACCTTGCCAAAGCTGATGAGTGACTTGTTTCCACACAAGACCTTCTGTTGCTATTTCTAAACAAGTTTGGGTTAAGGTTCCTCATAGGCTCTTAGTCGTAGACGAGCACTAACGCTCCCAGATGGCCATGTTTCCAGACCCAGTCCAGGCCCTGAGCCCCTGCTCTGCAGGAAGAAAGGTCTGAGAGCTCTAAAATCATTCTGGCCCTCAAACTGGAAAACCATGAAAACTAATTACAGTTAAAATGCAAGTTGAATTGGGAAAGGAAATAGGAAAAAAAAACATAGGAAAGAGGTTAGGAGAAGAGAGGAAGGAAAGGGAGGGGAGGTGGATGAAGAGGGTCCTGAGCCTGCAGGACGGATGGTTTCAACTGGATGTCTGGGGCTGGACACGGGAGTGGATGAGTGAGCATGTGAATCTGCCATGATGAGCTGAGTCTCAGAAAATGTTCACGTTAAAGCTGTTAGCTCTTAGAAGGACGATTCTGGTGGTGGACCTTGCCCAGAACAGAGGGCCCCATTGGTAACAAGGGGCAATGACACGCTTCTGGCTGCTGGGACCAGAACAGCCTCCCCAGAGTGACAAAGAGGAGGCTGGCAGGATGGGGGCACTCTAGAGATCTAGAGCTTTCTGCCCTGTTTCTAAATCAGCTCAGGCCCCTTGGAAGCCTTTGGCAGCAACAGCTCCTCATCTTAGAGGCCCTAGGGCCCCGGCTCCTATCTGGCCCCAGACGGAATGAGCCTAGATTCAGTGGCACCCGATATGAAGGCTCAAGGGAGGGACGAACACCCCTGGAGAGGGAGTGAGCTGAGAGGACAAGAGTAGGACCTCCTTCCTGAGCCTCTGCTCAGCCTGGGAGCCCAGGATCAGCACTGCATGGCTCAGGGTCACAGTGGCTCAACTGAATGCATAAAAACCAAAGGCAATGACAGTCCCCAACTCCAGCCCCAAGAGGACACTGATAACCTGGGAAACCTCTGGGTGCTTCCATCACATCTGAGCAGGGCAGTCAAGCAGGCTAGTTGGTGCCCACAAGGCCTGGCCTGCCTGTGTGTTAGGGACAGGGAGGAAAAGCAGAAAGAGGGGACGCTCAGCAAGGAGAAGGGGATGAGCATGGAGAGGCATATCTGGGAGGATCACCAGGGGCCAAGACAGAAGCAGCTGCAGGTGTCGTAGGAGAAGGGCAGGGCAAAGAGTTTTCTCTTGCATCATCAGCACCCAGATCCCTTAGCGAGAGCCGCGCAGCCTGAAGCCCGCTGAGCCACAGCAAGACTTAGACGCCAAGGCCAGCTCTGGGCTTCTCCCACACCGCAAGGGCAGTGACAGAAGCAGGCCCAGACAACCCCATACTGGGTCCTCGGGAGAGGGAGGGTGGGCTGGGCCATCAGGAGCTGGAGGCGGGTCCTCCGGCCCTCTGTCCTCAGAGCAGTGGGCAGGGCCAAGGGCAGCACAGGGGCCTGCAGCAAGGGACAGGCAGACAGCAACACTCAGAGCAGAGACACACAGGCGGCAGCAGCAGGAGCCCCCGGCAAGCAGGTCGGCCCCTCCATGGCCTGTCTCTCTGCCCCATCCTGCTGGGAGGGGCTCCCCTGGGGCTGGAGCCCTGGAGAAGGCCGACTTTGGCTGGGGCCTCATGGAAGGAGAGAACAGAGCAAGGGAGCCACCCAAGAGACGGGAGGCCAGGAGGGCAGACATACTTGAGGTCAGCAGAATGGGCAGCCATGAGGTTTCTGAGGCTCTTGTCAGCAAGAGGGCAACCAGAGAGGCTGAAAGAGAAGAGATGGGACACTGGGGTGAGCCAGAGGGGGAGCAGAGGAGGGGAGGGGAAGACCCACCACACAGCACCCAGGCCAGGCTGGACCCGAGCAGGGACGAACCTGCGGTGAGAGGCATAGTTCCCGGTGATGTGGCCACTGCCATCACAGCCAGGGGTGGGGCAGCTGAACAAAGGAAAAAGAGTGTCAGAACAGAGAGCAAGGCACACCTGCCAGGCCTGCCCCCCGGGCGGAGCCCACTCGGGGAGAGTGGCCAACACTTGTTCTTGACTCACCCACGAGCCAAGGGGCGACTCCTCCCCCCTCGGTCCTCGGACTGCAAGCTTCTCCCACACAACTTAACTCAAGGAGGAAAAAGGAACCGAATTCAAGCTCAGCTTGAAGCTAGGATGCCTCTGCATGCACACGTGTGTGCACCCATGAACGTGTAGGCCGGCGGTTCTTTCCTAAAGCGGCATGACCCTCCCTGAGGACAAGGTCCCAGACCAGAGCCTGGGAAGAGTCAGCTACAGGTTTGGTTCATAGCAAGGAGAAGAGGAACCCCAGGGGCAAACTGAGCACAGGGGAAGGCTGAGTCCCCAGCGGCACAGATGCCAGCTCCCACAGTCCTGTAGAAGACGGGCTTCTCCAACAGGGGTTGACTCGCCCTGTCAGGCCCCAAGAGCCTCCGCTGCTCTGGGCTCTGCGCTTTGGATCCCCAGAAATCCCGCAAGGGGCTGCTATTATCTCAAGTTTGAAAGTGTCAAGAACCAACAGGGCAAGGCTGTGGGGTGGCATCCAACCATAGGGTGACTCCTATCTACCAGCAGCTTCCCCAGTCTGCAATGGCATCTGCTTGGACCCCGTGAAGACCAGCTCAAAGGGGCTAGCTGGGCTGCCAGAGCCGAGGGCACTGAGTCCTAAAGCAGAGCGCACGTCAGGCCTGGGCTCTGTAAGCCAGGGCAGATGGCTGTGGCTCGGGAGAGGGTCAGCTTCCCTCGGCCCTCGTCTTGCTCTTTGGGCCCGAACAGCAGCTCTTCCTTGCTCTTACACTTTAGAAGTTTGTGTTAGATCCAAGTGCAGCGCAGAGATGACGGAAAACCTGTCACCCATTGCCAGGCTCAAGAGGGTCGTCGTGCAGGACGCCCAACCTCTCCGGCCAAGAGGATGGTCGGAGCTAAGCCGGGGCAGGGACAAGGCCTGGGGCTGAGCAGATCCGGTCATTAGGGACTCAGACCAGGGCACGCTTTCTTCCAGACAATGAAGGTTCTCGGGGACTCCTCTTGGTCCAGGTGGGGACTTACGTGAGCAGCTCCTTCTTTATTTCCTTGGAGAGAAACTTCATCTTAAAGTTGGTCAGGGTAACTTCCCCAGGATACTTCCGCTCCTCAAAACTCTCTTCCGACACTTCCTGGTCATCTGCTTCAGAAGAAGCAAAAGAATGGGCTGCTGGCTCTGACTGCAAAAAACCAGCAGGGAGACGTTTTAACCAGCTGGCGGGGGGCCGGGCGCCCGACCCGGGGGCTGAGGGAGAGGGACCCTTCAAACAGTGTTCGCAGAGACATTTTCTGGAGTCTCCTGCCTTCGGGATGAGGGAGGAAGCCTTACCCCCCCAAAAAAAGAAAGCACAGAAGACAGCACCCCTGAGGGGCTAGGGCGCTCCCCCACCTCGGCCAGAGCTGCTCAGCTGCCCCAGGGATGAGCAGGCCTGGATGCTGCCCGGTGTGGCCGGCTGCGCCACCCTCCCACGGCCTCGGGCGTGTGGGTCACCTCCACCTAACCGCCGCTGGGCCACCTTCTAGACACAAGAACCTACACAGAGTGCAGCTCCTTGGGGCTCAACAGATAGTAACACCAAACAAGTGTTTGTTGAGATGCTAGGACGAGGAGAACACAAGGCGAGCAATAGCATACAAAATGTGACCTTGTGACCCCCTGTACCTTCCCAGCCAGCGCCAGGCCCCGACCACAGCAGGCCCTTCATAAGCTCAAGTTCTAGGTCTGGAGGGGATCGGTAACCAGCAGAGGGCAGGATACTATGGACACAGGGTTGAGTAAGGGCAAAAGTAGAGAAGGTCAACACCCTGCAAGTGGGTCTGTGCTCGTTCCTGGTCCAAATCCCAGTGCTGGCATGTGTATGTGTCTCAGGCAAGGTGTTCAGCCTCTCCGGGCCCAGATGGTACACTTTCAAACTTGAGATAATAGCAGCCCCTTACGGGATTTCTGGGGATCCAAAGTGCAGAGCCCAGAGCAGCAGAGGCTCTTGGGACCTGACCGTGAATCTCGTCAGTGTCGGGGGGTGCAATTCCTGGCACTGATACACTGATACGATCACTACACGAGGCACGGGGAAGCGGGTCCTTCCCCTGAGCAAGCTGGCCTTAGCTGGGTCCTCAGGGTAGATGGCAGCTTCCCAGAAACACAGGGAGGAGGCTGTTCCAGTGCAGGGAGAGCAACTCAGAGGCCCATGGACACCGCCCTGACTGCTGCCAGAGGCTGGGATGGGAGGTGAGGCTAAGGGTGAGGGCGCAGCCTTACACAGGATGGATCAAGGAGCCTCAGGCGGAGCTAGAGAGTCTGAGTCAGGGGTCCAGGGGCACGGTAGAGGGGCCAGGAATGCCTGGATGAGGGAGGCATTTCTGGGGGTGACCCACCTGTGCCCAGAAGGGGGCTGGAGGAGAGGAAGGGACTGGGAGTGAGCTGAGGCTCTAGGGTGGAGAATGACGGTGGGGAGGAGTATGGGGGCAGGCTTCTGTGGGCAAGGACCTCAGGACCTCTGAGACGGATGACATGAGTCTTGGGGTGCTCAGAGGGTGTGTGAAAGGAGAAGGGGAGGGGCAAGGCAGCCACGGATGTCAGCCTGAGCTGGGGGTCATGGAAGGGGACAGGGAGGGGCCAAGCGAGGGGCTGCAGTCACCAGGAAGGGGGCTTAAACCTGGGGGCAGGACTGGAACAAGGTAAGAGCAGACTATACTGGTGGCTCCCCCATAAGAGGGCCCCACCTGGCCTCAGACTGGGCTCCCAGTGACCAGGGAGAAAAACACCCACACGGTCCCAGGAGACCATGTCCCAGGCCAGTCCCTTCCACTCAGGGCTCACTCTGAGAGGTGTCCCCCTTCTGGGGCCTAACCCTAAGTTATAGCCACACCACTGTGCCAAGTGACCTCAGCCCAGGGCCCAGTCTGCTCCTCCATAACGTGGAGATACATGTGAGGTATGTAGAGGGAGCTGGGGGAGGGAGGGTTGAACTGCAGGATGGTAGTTTCCCAGAGAGGGATCTTCCACAGGGACCGTCCCCCCTGCCCTTCTGGGGTTGGTGGGTGGGGTGCTGGCAGGGATGGGGAGAGAGAAGGGAGGGGACCTGCAGGCCTGCCCACACTGTGTGGAGGCTCCCCAGAGTCTACCATCTCACAGCTGGGCTCTGCTACTCGGGACGCACACCTCTGTGGGGAAGAGCCTTCAACCCGTCCCACTCTCAGGAGGGTAGAGTGGTTAGAAAGGGATGTCCCCCTGTCCCCAAACTGCAGCTCTGACAAAGACATCTGGCTTGTTGCTCTTTACCAGGTGGTGCTGGTCTTGGGACTCAGGCCACTGCCCACCACAGGGGGTCCTCTGTCCAAGGAGCCAGCTGGCTGGGTTGTCCTATGGATGGTGAGCAGGGACTGCTGCCAGAACTCAGGATGTCCCTATCTGGACAGCAGGTTGCAGGGAGGCCACAAAACCCAGGAATTTGGAGCCATTCCCAAATATTTCCCATGGGATGTGAAAGAAGCCCTCCTTCTCCCCATGCTTTCCAAGGGCCCACAATGGTGATGATCACCGAATCCGTGGAAGCGAGAAGACAACTTCTCTCTTAGACGGGACAAGACCACAGCATGGCCCGAGGGTGAAAAACGCCCCAGGAGGGCAGGCCGATTCCTAGCTTCCTAGAGGTAGCAAGGCCCCATGCGGGCAGGGGCAGGACCCTGGAAGCTCTTCCTGGAGAAGCAAGCACTTTTCACACCAGCCCTCAGGCCCCACACCCACCTCCTCGGGCTCCTCCTCTCGTTGGCGGCTGGGCTTGGTGTAGTCCAGAGGTCGATCCCACTCGTCCTGGCGGGAAGCCTGGCTGGACTGGGGCGAGGTCATGGAGCTGCTCGGGGCGCTGGTGCTGCTCTGGCGCTGGGAGGCTTCGGGAGACTTCACACCAGGGCTGCTGCTGCTGGGGAAAGCACTTTCTCGCTTGCGGTGTTTGTGCATGCTCAAGTCCAGGGTTCCATTCTCATCCACCTCAATGTCCGCAGCCTGCAATTGTGGAGGCAAGAATCCATGCTAGCGATTTCACCCTTTCCCAGGTGTGCCTTCTGGAACATTAAATCAGCATTACAGAAAGCCCAGAACAGTGTTTCCCTTGGAAGGAAGCAGAGCCAAACAAGAATAGAAGAACCTCTGAGAAGCAAGAATCTTGACTTGCCACTTCCTGAAATTCACGTGGAGGGCCTCCATTCTCTCTCAGGTCTTGCGAACATCACAAAACCTTGAGACGGGCTGACCATGATCACACAAGGACATGTGCTCGACCCTCAGATTCAGGGGAAGATGAGGTCACACGTGTGTGCAATGACCCTCAGACTCAGAGGAACACATGGGAACGTGTGTGGGCATGACCGTCAGACTCGGGAACACATGGGAACGTGTGTGAGCATGACCCTCAGACTCAGGGGAAGATGAGGTCACACGTGTGTGCAATGACCCTCAGACTCAGGG